TCCAGGAGGGACGGCTGCTGTGTCTCTCGAGCCGGCTCTCATCCCCAGAACTCAGTGCTCGGCTGCGGGGCAGAGCTGCGCCCCCGAGCACAGACCATTTCCAAGTGCTGCCCCTTCACAAAGCTCCTTGCTGCGCTCCGGCGGGCGTTTGATCTCCTTATCTCCTGGAAGTTTAATTTGCGGAGGAAATCCCGTCCCCCCTTGCCTGCCCGGCGCCGCATGGCCTCATCCCGTGCTCCGCGGTCATTGGGGCAGGGGGGGGTCTCCGGGGCAGCCCCGTTTCCGCCGGCCTGACGAGCACGTGGCCAAGGGCCCACGGCAGGCAACGCCGTGCGAGGATAAATCGCAGCATTTCAGGTTCCTTGGTTAGCCAAGGCAAACGCTGGGAGCGGCTCTGACAGACGAGCAGTTTGTGGCCGCCCTGAGCTGCAGCCTGAAAGGCTCTTTGGGGAGCACCAGAGATGTCATTTGGGGGCTGTTGCTGGACACGTGCCCCCTCCAGACCAGCTTTGTGAGGCGGGGGGGCCCGCTGCCCTGCCCAGCACCCCGTGGGTCCAGCCCGGCCGTGCTGGGGAGTATCTCTGAGGGGGTGGGTCAGTGTTTGTGTTGGGAAGGGTGGAGAAGCCACAGCTCTCACCAGCATCACCCAAGAGCTGCTGCTCCACCCTGCCAAAGAGCCGCAGCTCACTTTGGCTGAGGGTCCTCCTGGCTCCGGCTCCCACGTGCCATGGGATGTTCTGCCGTCCACAACCGCCTTGTCCACGCGGTGCCAGTTTCCCAGGTGGATATTTTGAATTAGCTCATTTTTAACGTCCTTTAGAGCAGTTCTAGTCTTTTAGAGTCTCAACCCAAGAGAAGACTTTCAGGGCAGATGGAAGTCTGCTGGCTCTTCTCTCCCATGTTTTCACCCCCAGTTTGAAGTGGGGACCAGGACCCGGTGCCGTGGCCAGTGCTGGGCTCCAGTGGCCCTCGCAGACCCTCAGCCAGCCCCCAACTCCTGCCCCCCGGGAAGGAAAAACCAGCACTGGCCACATGCACTGCTGTACGAGGTGGGTCGGTCAGCAGCAGGCAAGCAGCCATGGGCATCGCTTGGAGGAGGCGATCCCGGTGTCTGCAAGCAGAGCCCACCTCAGCCCCCCCCCGTCTGCTCAGGAGCGGGGGGCTGGAGGGCACCCGCTGCCTCTCCACACAGCCCGGCCGGGCTGACACGGGAGCTGAGCTCGGAGCAGGCGAGGATGATGATGGAGCAGCCACTGCTCCGCGAGACGTGGGAGAGAGGATTCTGAGGGAGCGGCGCTCGCTTTGCTTCGGGGCCATGGAGTTTGCTGCTGGCACCGCTCGCTCGCTCACGGCCCGACAAAAACATCCCTCCCAGCCCTCCGGGCAGAGCGCGGATCCGCCAGCGCGGAGGCACCGTGGCCGCAGCCCCACGTCGTGCCGGCTCTGTGGGGCGGCTCTGCCTGCCATGGGCTCGCCCGTGGCCGGGCGGGAGGGAAGCTCCTCTCCTCCTCTTCCTCGCTGGCACCAAGGCTGTGGGGTCGGGACCACAGGCTGTGTCACCGGTGCTGGGGGAGTATTGGCTGGGTTTGGGGGGCAGAAACAGCTTCAGATCAGAGGCTCCAGGCCCAGAGCTGCTCCTCCACAACTGACATCCCTGCCACCAGCAGTGCTCTGCTGAAAGAGTCACAGACGGGGCGGTGGGCAGGCAGCACGGCGGCTTGCTCTGTAGGGACTTGCAGGTCACGGCACAAGTCACCGTGCACTGAAGAGAGGCGTGATGACACTGGAAAAACCACACCGAGGGCATTTCTGAGCAATCGCAAGACATTAGTCATTCTCATTCTGCATCAAACCTCAGTGGAAAAACCCCGTGCGCGGGCTGCCAGGACACCAAGAGTCCTGGTGCAGCAGGAGGAGCGGCCGAGCCCCCGCAGAGCCGGCGTCGGAGGGCAGAGCTGCCGCAGCGACGTGCCTGGGAGATGCTGGTGGCAGCGGGGCCAGGCGGGCAGGGTCGGTGTGGAGGGGCTGGAGCCCACACCGAGCTGCCCCTCCGCTCGCTGCTGAGGGCCAGGGGGCACAGGGAGGAGCGGAGGGGCCCAGGAGCTGCTGGCGGGGACGGGGAGCCCCGGGTCCCCCCCGGGGACGTGCCCCCACAGCAACGTACCGCGGCGACGGGAGCCGTCGGTGAGAACCCGTCAGGCTGGTATGTGGCACCTCGCCACAACATCCAGCGCAGGCAGTAAAACAAGTGATTAAACGGGCTGATATCTTTGCGGTTTCTGTAACTCTGGAAATACAAGTGGAGTTTTCTGTTAGGAAGGTAACTCTAAGAGCTGGCCGCAGCCACCCCACGAGCTCGGTCTGCTTTATGGTATATCAAACAGGGCGGCAGTTCTTGGGATACTTCCTGGCTGTTTTGGGTAAATGTGAGATCTCCTGGCAGATAGCTGCCCTCACCCCCGGCATGCTGCTTCCTTGAGAAAAGAGCCCTGGGAGCGCAGCTTCGGGCCAGCCCTCCCCACCGAGCAGGGATGACGCCGGTGACTTGCTCCTCGCTGGCGCTGCCTGTCAGCCGGCGCGGGGCTCACTCCAACACCCACCGCTCGTTTTAGTGGGAAGCCAAAAAACTAGGTGGCCCAAATGCCTGCTGTTTGCCCCCACACTGCTCGGGTCATCGCGGGGCTGCACGCTGTGGGGTCAGTGGGTTCAGCTTTTTTCTCCAATACCTGGCATTGCCTGGCATAAATGTCAGTACAGCTTTAGTCCATGAGACCTTGATCTTCACTGCTGTCAGTCCTACACCTATAGCACCGTCACGCTTGTGTACCAGTGTCATACCCAAGCAGACACACCTTTAGAAAGCAAGAGGTTCGGGGGGCAAACAGCGAAGGAAACCAAAGCGCTGTGTATGAAAACAAAGAACTGCATTTGTATCGAAGGCTTGTGAGATGAAGGAAAAGATCTTGGAGCTTTTGCATGTTAATGTGGGGAGAGGAGCCGCCGCTTCATGCCGTTGGTCACAGAGCAGTGTCAGCCGTAAGCCTGTCCCAAGGGAAAGCTGCTCTTCCCAGAGACAGCCATTAAAACAGTCCTGCTTCAGCGGGAGTCCGGAGTCGTTACACGTTTCCCTGTAATATGGAAATTATTACCAAACAGTGCTTTTAGGAAATGCTCCATTTCCCACCTTCTGGGCCCAGTTATTAGTTTTGCAAACCCAAGCCCGGGTGAGCAGCAAAGGGAGCGGGGAAGGCTGCAGCTGCACCCCTGGGACGTGCTTTGCAAGGAGCACCCGGGACTCGGGGCTGGGGGCAGCACCGGCCCCACAGCGGGACGAGGGGCCCCCGCACCCGCTGCCCCGGGCAGAGCCACAGCAAAGGGACCCGAGAGGCACTTGCTGGGCTCTGCCCGCGGCTGCACCGGGGCTCGCCGTGTCGGGCCAGCACCTGGCGCACGGAGGCTCTCGTTAGCGCTGAAACGAGCAGGCAAGGAACCCCCAGCAGGCCTTTTAAGAGCGCTTCTCCGCGGGCGCTGAGCGCTGGGAGCAAGCTGCTGCGGCCCCGGGGGCTGGGATCTGTGCAGGCAGCCAGCGAGCGTCCACTCGCGCAGCCACCGGCGGCGCGGGCTGGCCCGCTTCTTTCTCCCTGCAAACCCATCTGTTGTGTTTCTCACATCATATGCAACTGTTTTATCTTTGCTCATTTCTATTGCTAAACACTGGCTGGGAGATGAGCTATTTTAAAATGCATCTGCTGTTGTTTATACAAACGCTTTCTTTCCAAAGGGCAACAGAGGAAAGTGTTGAAAACCAAAGCACCCCCAAACGCTTCTCGGATGCAGTTGGGCTTCTATTCTGCTGGCGATGCAGACGTGCATGCTGCTGGCTAGCGACAGGCACGATGGCTCATCTTTTGAAGAGCTTACCAGGCTCCGTGATCTGTAGCTGCAGGAGGGCAGGTCAGCGTGTGCCCAGCCCTCGCCGGCCAGCGGCAGCACTGCCCTGCCTGCCCACGGGAGACACCTCCGGAGGGGTGGGGAAACACGAACAAGACCTCCAGCCCTCACTCAGGCAAAGTTTCCATTCAACTGAGTCATAAGTAGAGTGGAAATGACTCACAATCTGGTGAGGAGGCAACAGCTGATTTCAGGGATGAATTCATGGTTGCACTGCTGGTTGGATGGCGACTGTGACACGCTGCTTCTGCCCCAAAGGGCCAAGGTCTACTGTACTCGGGAGGGAAACGTTTTTATTTTCAGCACAGGCTGAAAATGCAGGTGCACACAGGTGCCTCGTGCTCCTCTTACTCAGTGTTTGCTTTACTGTTAACATAAAGTAACAGCCCTTCTGTAGGAAAATACCTACTCTTCCCCGAGCAAGAAGCATAAAGCCGGTATTATTAGCTTACATTCAGGAAGCAATCAGAAAATGAAGAGTGCTATCATAAGGCTAAGTGTTACTGCAATCGTAATTATAGTGGAGCGACTAATACAAAGAGCTGAGAAACAGCCTCTCCTGAAACAGCTGTTTTAAGACGAGCTCCCACTAACACCTGAAAGCAGAAGGCGATTGCTGGAGCGTGCCGCGGGTCTCTGAATTGTGGGATGATGAAGTTCGTGTAGGACAGCAGAGCAGCGCTAATTGGAAACACACATCTCTTACCCAGCTACGTGTGAGTTAATGAACTCCCTGATCTCTTCATCTGGGGGTGCTGCTGGCCTGGGGTAGCTGGCAGGGGGTTGGGGGGAAGGGCTGGCTGGAGACTCGTGGTTCCTGCTGTGTCTGATCCCTGGGTGCTGGTGGTCACCAGGACCGACCCTGGAAGGGACCAGCTATCAGCTGGGAGAAATCAGGAGCAGGTAATGAAGAAATTTCCTAGATCTCAAGGGGTTTCCTGCAGCTTGCAGACAAGAAGGTGGATTGCTGCTTTTACTTGATAACCAAAAATTACCCCTTGGCTATAATACAGTAGTTGTGTGACCGTGTTTAAACAAAACAAGTGTTTAAAGCCCATGAAAGGAAACATGGGAGCAAAGACTTGTTGAATTAGACTTTCTCCCATTTCTACATATATGATGTTTGATCTCAAGATAATGTCTGCCTCATTGTCTGTGGTTACCAGCATACCTAGAAAGTCAAAGGAATATCCTCTAGTATTTAAAACATTACAACTTAATTTTTTATTTTTTTTTCTTTTCCTTCATACTTCCTGCCCATTCCCTATACGGCCTGAATTTTATAAAACGGAAGTAGAAAAATGGCAGCCACATCCATCCTAGAAACGGGTGAAACCAGCTGGCAGCGGCTCGTGGAGGATGAGGTTGGTACCTGGGTGACACGCCGAGGCACCACCCAGTCATGGGGGGGGAGCGAGTGCCTGGCTCCCAGGTGCTGTACAGGAAGAAGTTGGATAACAGAAGAAAATATGTGGTTGCTGCTGCCTGTGAGCAGTTTGTCAGCTGAAAGACCAACAGTTGTTATCGCTCGTGTTGAACTCTGCTGTCCCAGCCTTTCGTGCTCTCCCGGCCTCTGCCGTGCGCAGGTCTGGGACCTTCAGTCTCCTCTCGTTCGGCCCGAGACATCGGGCAAATCCAGCAGCTTTTCCAAGTCACTTTGCAAATTGTGCGTGGGGTAAGGAGGGCAGAATCAGGCCCTGGGCTGTCTGTGTTATGTGGGTCCCCGGGGAGAGGGTGGCCAGACCTGCCAGGCGTTGGAGGATTTGTCAAGCATCCCACAAACGTGTGTCACGATGTGCTCCAGTCCCATCAGCTACCGTTGTGCCAGGGAATCCTGGAGCCTGCTGCATGGCCTCGTATGGTCCTCGCCTGGGGTAAGTAACTTTCTTTTTCATGGATGAGTAAACTATTGTATTGCTGTTGTTTTCACTTTCACTGGCCAGCCCGAGTAAGAGGCAGGCGGTTTACGCCTGGCAGCGGAGTAGGACTGCTCCGGTGTTTCCCCTTCGCAGATACTCGTGTTTACAAGTGGGCTGGGAGGAGGAATGAAACATCAGTAGCTGGAGAAAGTCCCGGCGTAAAGGAACTGCAGGCAATGCATCCTCCAATTTCCTCAGCAGCGAAGAGCCGAGTTCCCAGCTGAAAGTGGGATCTGCCCAGAGCTGTGTGGGGACTCTCTCCTCCGGGGCCTCCAAGCTGCTGCCGTACAAATTACAGACTCCCCTCCTCTCCGATTCACTCCCGTGCTTCTGCTCGGCCAGATGCTTTGTGCAGGTGTGAGCTGCTGCTGGGTTAGATCCCACCCCATGCTGGGACCATCTCCCATTATTGCGTGTCCCAGCCTCTGAAAGACAAAAATCACCTCTCCCATCCAAAAACAGATGCAGCAAACTGCTGGGTAGCAGCTCTCTGCCATGAATAGACTGGCTGTGTAGTGGGGAGAGGCATGGATAACACATTGCTTGGAAGACTAATTCAAATATAGCTCTGCAACCAGCACCTGTGATTAAAGACAAGAGAGAAGTAAACAGGCTAATGTCTCAACTCCTGGTTTAGCTCTGAGGGTCATTTCCTTGCCAACAGTCTCCTCTGGTAGTAAATGCTAAGCTGCTTCAGTTTTGGACAAGTAAATTCTTGCTCACAGAAAATAAACAGTAAAACCAGTGCATTATGTTGCCATTAGACTAAAAAATGGGAAGCCCTGTGTACGATAATAAGCAGTTCCCTGCCATACCTGAGCAGCGGGAAGTGTGATTTGTGTTTCCTTCCCCAGCAAGTTTCACAGCCTCCTCCTATAATATTTATTTATAAAACCCTTGAACCATAAACCCATATCAGCCTCTGCCTTTCTCCCTACTCTGCAGAATTGTAAAAAGCAGACACCAGACTGACACCAGGCTATTCTGGCATGCTTGCAAGGTAGGATAATGTTTGGGAAGCTGCGTGAGAAGCCTCCATCCTACATCCCTTTTGGAGAGACCAGTGAAAGTTGCGAAGGAGGAAAGCCCAGGCCTGCTGGTACTTCTGATGAGGAGAGCCCTGTTCCTGCTGCCTCGTCCCTTCTGCAGTCCCTGTGCTCACAGATGGGGATGTCTTTAGAGTCATGATGGAGATGTTTTTAAGGCTCAAACCCAGGAAGTACTTTAGTCTTCGTAGCTACCAGTTGGGGTTTAGCCTTTCCAGTGTTTTCAGGCAACTTTGCTGATAGTGGCTGAGTTGGGAGAGAATGGCAGCAGCACTGCTGCCCCAGGTCTGTAGCTCACGGAAAAGCCAGCCCAGGCTTTCCCTCTGGAAATCTGCTAGATGTTTCGTGGAGCACTGCCTTGGGACCAGCCATCCCTCCCCAGCTTCCACACCTCCCAGCTCATCTGCCTAATTATCTGGTAGCTTCACCCAGCCAGACAGTGGGCATGGGAAAAATAGGGCTGCAGCAGCCTGGGGAGGGCCGGTGTGCTCAGCAGAGGAGTCTGGTCCTGCCTGCTCTGGTAGCAGCTCCCAGCCCTGGAGCTCCCCTGCCTCCACAGAGCTTGTCAGATGCTGGTGTGTGTGAAAAGATCCTTTACAGTCTGATCCCTGGCAAGGACACTGCACCCTCCGAGCGCGGCAGCGGCGTGCTGCCCGGCTGGCGATGCGAGATGGAGTGACTGCTCAGTGACCCCTGCACCCAACTTATCAGCCAAAGGAGTCGCTGTCAGTGCAGTGTTGGGATGTGGGGACGTGCTGTTAATGACATAATTAAGTCATTATTCCTAATGATACACCGCAATCTCGTATGTAAAGACAATATTATGTTTGCACTTCAAAAGCTCATTGCTGAGATCTTTGGAATGAGCATTTTTGTCCTGATTCTTCTATGACTATAGTTTAAAAAAAAACCCTATTGTAAGTTTAGAGAGGACCAGATTCTTTTTTGTGCAATTTAAGTTCAGACAATCAGGGCACGATTACTGTGCAGTCAGCACCTTTACTTTTAACAACTAGAGCAATAATAATGTGTTATTAGCCTGTACAGTGTCAAATACACTTCCATTTAAATGTGCTGCTGATGTGTGTTACTGAGCTGACTTCTGCTCTCTAGTCCTGTGATTCTATCAGCCAGGAATCCAAGCTCATTATGCAATTGCAAATTGTTTCTGGATTTCATTAAATCAGCAAATGGGCATTAGCTAGATATTTTACATCAGTTGAACTTGTGATAATTTATCCAATTGGGCAACTGTTCTTTTGGAATAAAAAAAGTCCTGAGGGATTATGATTCATTTTCATTTCTCTGCATAAGTCTCAGTGCAACCCCTGCAGCATGGCTGCAAAACCAGGCAAAGAATTGCAATCCTACTGCAGGTGCTGAGGACAACAGCGTTCTCCCTTCAGTCTTTCACTGCTGCCACATACCAGGAAAAGGGGAGTGAACTGCTGGTATAATTTAACAATATCAATGGATTTAGATTGGACAGTTCAAAAAAGACGTTCTTGTGGCAACTCATGTTTTATATAAATAGAAGGGTTGTGATAAATTACAATTATTTTTTTTTTTTTTTATAAAACTGCAATGTTAAGGGCCACTGGATATCTTGGGCTGTGTCCAGAACATGACTGGTTGTATCCTGGATATGAGAGGATGTAGAGACTCGATTCTCTTTGCATTATAACCTTCTGTTGTTGCCGAGGTGGTGTGGAGTAGAAATCCAGTTTGGGGATGTCAGCAGGTTCTACCCACTTCAAGCAGGTATAAGTGATGACGTCAGTAACACTGTAGATGTCCCTGAAATAAGAGGATTTGTTATAAATTGGCAAATGCACCAAGGGAGAGACAAGGTGTGGACACAGGATTTAACACCCTGTTGACAGATTGAATTTGCTGATGAGCAATCCCCCAGCGCCGCAGAGATAAGGCGCAGCAGCGCAGCCCTGGAACGGGCTCGTCAGGGGTGGTCTGTCCGGGGGGCCGCATCCCCCCACTAAAGGAGAGGGGCAGCATGTGGGGTGGGAGAAATGGAGATCCAGATTTGTTCCCTGTTGAACTCAGCAGGAGAAGCACCCCTGATTGCAGCTGAACTTGGCCCCGCTTCCTCCTTCTCTTCTGATCACTTCATAACCAGGTTCACATTCATCCAGATCGAATTTCATGTACTTGCAAAGTCTGACTCAGCAATAAATGTTATCAGCTTGCATTCAGACCTCCAGAAAACTGAAAAAAAGTCAACCTTTCCAGAACAGACATTATATAGGTGCTTTGTCTTGCTGAGTCAGGCCCTGAGTGTGCTGGGACCCTTATTGTTTTGAAACTTAAAAGATGGTCCACAGCCCATGAAATAGATAAGTGCTCGATTCATTGGATACAAGAATATTCTTCAGTCAGTTAATGCTGAGTGGGAAAAGCTGAAGATGCATTGCTATTTGGGGCAAAGTTTATGAAACCTTTAATTCTAAAGGAAACATTGGGTAAAGTCTTGCAGAATGCTCAGATGTATACTGAGCCTCTTAAAGGACACGAGTCTTCTTGTGCAGTTTCTGTTCACAGGAATGATTAACTGACTTTACATCTTTTAAAGCAGAAGCTATTGCTGATATTTTGTCTCTACACGTTTTCCAGATACAGCCTCATGTGTTCAACATAGAGCTAGTAACTTCCTAAGCTCACAGATTTCATGAGAGTGCTTGTACTCAGAGGAAACAAGTTGCTCAACCACCAGCGTTAAGCATCCTCAAAGGCAGACGATGCTGCCACACCAACTGCCCGGCTGCGAGAGGAGTGCCTGAGCCCTGCTGCTGAGGCTGGCGAGTCCTGTGGAGAAAGAAAATGTGGAAATCCCTCTGCTGAGATTACCCTGCCTCCAGCTATACAAAGTGAGAAACAGTGATTCACCTGCTCGCTCCCAGCACGGTGGTCCCTGGGGAAGGAGATGCCTTGCTAGGACTTGAGCCATAAAAACCAGGGATTTATAGATCTCTATCAGCAGCCATGCGTTGTCCCTGGAAGCAAAATTCTCTGCACTGTGTACTTCTAATGCATGTACAAATTATGTGAGCGGGAGAACTACAGCACAGTTTTCTCTCAAAGTGGGGGATGAGGGTGGGGACTCGGAGCTGTGTTCCCTGCCTGGCCACTGACTTGCTGGGATTTCAGGTAAGTCATTTAATCTCTTTGTTTTAGTTTCCTCATCTGTAAAGCCAGATGAGTTATATTCAGCATTTTTGTTGGTGACCTGGACGAAAGGCTGTGCAAACGCAAAAATATTATTGTTATATTATTGTTCTCTCCTCAGGCTTCAAGACATCTCCTGCTCGTGTCCCTGAGGTTTTGCAAGTGAAGAGAGCAGGGTGCTGGGGAGGGCAGGCGGCACGCTGCCCGCTGCCGAGCAATGCCGCCGCCTCACCTCGAGCATCCCCGGGGACGGGGGCTCCGGTGCTCGCCCCGTCCCCGGTCACCCAAGGAGGTGACGCTGTGGTTGAGGCATCCCTCTGCGTCTTAGGTAACGCTGACGGACAGCTAGACACTCAAATCATGGAAGTTATTACAGCTCTTCTTGGGGCATTGATACATTTTTGACCAGAAAAAAAGAAATTAACATTTTACTGAAATTTATTGACCGTTGACATTCACTTGAGTATATATTTTATAGCTGAGTTACCGCTTACATTAGGACTAAGGAAGGGATCTAACAGCTTGCGAGACCCTGTGCAGCGCCTGTGAATCCCCCTCAATCCTTCACGCTGGGCTCCCGTCCCGTGCAAACCCCGATGACATGAGAACACCATCGGGAAACCCACGTGTTGTTTCCACAGATATCTTTTACTTCAATGTTACAGTTATTTATGCTTTTTTTTTTTTTTTAATATCTCCCCCCCCCCCATGCTATTATTAAGTGCTGTTTCAGGAGCCACTTTCCGAGGCGCGACAGCAGCTCGGTGGGGGGACTCGCCCGCCCTGCAGCAGCGGCGGCTCCGGCGGCACCGAAGCTGCCCCGTGGGTCCCGTCCCCCGAAACGCCCCGTCCCGGCACCGCACCCCCGGAGGGTCCCCGCGGGGCGGCGGGAGGCCCCGGCCCGGCGCCCGCCGTGGCCCCCCGCGGCGCAGCCCGGGCCTGCCTTCCCTCAGGGCTGACCTTCGCCCGGGGGTGAGGCCGCTCGGCGGGGCGGCCCCGGCACCTGCCCCGCGCCGCCGCCCGGAACTTCCCGCCGGCCTGGCCTCGCCGCCCCCGTCCCGTCCCGTCCCGTCCCCTCCCGCCGCTCCGGCTCCGCCCCAGGCCGCGGCCGGGGAGGGCGGAGCGGACGCGGCGCCGCCGCCGCGCACAGCAGCCGATCGCGGGGAGCCGGGAGGCGGCCCGGGGGAGCGGCGGGTGAGCGGGGGGGCAGGGAGCGGCGGGGGGGCTCCGGGCGGGGGCCTGGGGCGAGCGGGTACGGCCCCGGGGCTGCGGGGAGCGCGGCGGTGCCAGCGGGGCCGGGCTGAGCGCTGCCTCCCCGGCGAGCCCGGCCGGCGGCGGGGGTGAGGCGGCTTCTCCCCGGCCCTGGCCGCGGCGGGGCGGGAGCTCCCGGGCCGCCCGTCCCGTCCCGTCCCGTCCCCGCGGGGCGCAGGCTGGCCATCCGTCCATCTTGTGCGGCCGTGCTGCGGGCGGGGGAAGGCGGCCCGGCGCCGGGAGGCCGCCGAGGCGGGGGCGGTTGGCCCTCGGCGCGGCGAAGGGTGTCAGCGTGCCTCGGGAAATAACCAAAATCCTTTTGGTGTTTCGTATAGTCAGGTGCGCGCCGGGCGCCCGTCTCGCTGCTCCCCGAGATGTAAAGGGGGTGCCCAAAAGCTCTGGCGCCGTCGTCCCCGAAGAACCCCGCTGGAGGTAAATGGGGAGCGAGGCCGGAGGGCTGCGGGCGGGCTGGGGCGAGGGCCGGGCACCCCGCTTCCCTGCCGCGGAGCGAGGTGAGGGCAGTGGCAGGGGGGGACGAGGCGGAACGCGGCGGGGGCTTCGCGCCGAGCCCCTCGCCAGCCACGCGGGGCCACGCGCCCGGCCGCCCGCGTCTGCCAGGCCCGTTGTCGCGGACCGTGGCACCTCCGAAATGGTTTCTGGCGCTTCCTTCGGCCTCTTTAAAGAGGCAGTTTAAAGGGAAAATGTTCTTTGTGAAGGGGACCTTTTGCGTTGAGGTACTCTTTATTGATGGGTGTCTTTGCTTACGTTGTTTGAGGTGCGGTACCGGTGGTTTTGGTGCCGGGGTTTCTGCGAAGGTTTCTCTGGGGGAGCGCTGGCGCTTGGGCACGCCGAGTCGATACCAGCCGTCACAGAACGGGGATCGGCTCTTGGGTTTTGCTTTGCTCACAACTGGGAAGGAGCTGCAGACAGGAAAGGCAAACCGTGAAAACTCTGGGTTTTTTCCTTTCAGTAGCTTAACAAGGGAGGTAATATTTCTGAAAGTGGTTGTTTGACTTGAAAACGTCTGTCTGCCTTCAGAGTATTATATCGGCACTCTGATTTCTGTTGCTTTTGTAATTCTGCCTGAGTAGTAGCGTTGCTCCGTGTAAAAAGAAACACCAAATTATTTGAAGAGTTAAATTGAGGAAACTGGCTGTTTAGTTGAGAGTGGCTGTCGGCCATGGAATGTTTCACTGTTGTGATTTTTGTCATTGCTTTTTCTTACTGAAACGGTATGTCAGCTCTCACTGGTGATCCCTCAGATTCTGAAACGGTTTTAATGTGGGAGTTTGTGAGACTTTTAGGCAGTAGAGGATGAAGCTCTGGAGAAACAGAAAGTAGTGTGTTAGCAGTCAAAGGTCTGTGCCTTTAATGAGAAGTTACCCGAAATGAGACAACTTAAAGGGAAGTTTTAGATGGAGGACTCTTGCCTTTGTGCCATGTGCAACTTTTTTAATTTATAGAAGCGGCGTAGTTCACTGTGTCCCAAGTATGAAATGCTGGCTGATTATTCTGACATCATTATCACGTTGCTATAGTGACTTCATTACGCTGGGAATGTCATGTTCACATCCTGTTGCTATGGAAAAAATCAGTGTAATAAATAAAAACATTTAATGTTCTGTTCATCATTGTGGCAGAAAAAATGCCATCGATTTATGGACATGATTGCCTGAAGACTGGCAACATATTTCAGCAAAAGTTTTTAATGCCAAGTTAGAAACTGGGAAATTGTCACTTGCAGTTCTCAGCAGATTGTCCCTTTCTTCTCTCTGTTGTACTGGGTAGCAGAAGTTGTGAAATCCTAGTTTTGGAAATGATAATGAGAATCTGTATGTCGTTCTTCAAGGTGGAGTCGACAGGAAATGCTGCGCTCACATACGCTGCTTCTAAAAATAATCTGTTTTCATGCACAGTATTTTCTACGCACCAGGAGGAAAGGAGTGTTTGTGTTCTGTCAGGCTAAGATCATCCACGGAAAAGTGAGTTATACTTCATAAAAACAGATATTTCTCATGGCCTTTGTAAACATAAGAGAGTATGTCCGGATCTGATCAAGGGGCCAAGTAGGTGCAGAAGAAACCTTGATGCCATTTGGTGGGCCCAGCCAGTGCTGGCAGACCCACGAGTCGTAATTCCAAAGCCTCCAGGAAGCTGAGCGGTGTCTGTCATGATGTGTCTTGGCTCTGGCCTGGCCATTTTTAGGGTAAGTAGCTTTCCTGAGGATTTTGAGAGGACTGAGTGCCCAATGGACTAAATTACTAGCACGGTATAATTCCAGTGACACGTTAATGCTTTTATTTGGAGACTAATGTTTATGTACTTTACCAAAATGGTTTATATCTGAAGCCATAAGCTGCAAATATACAGACATAGACCATTTGTGATACATTTCATGGCTGTTCATCCTGTCAGAGGACTGGTCTTAAAAAACTGAAATGTAATTAGATAGCAGTAGTGTAATATGTGGACATACTCTAACATAAAAGTTTTAATTGTACATTGAATCACAGTCTTAGGCATGAACAACTCTAAACATTTGTTTGTACTATATATTGCAGTGTTTTTTCATGTTCCATGCACATGCACAGTGTACTCACTGGCACTTTGAACCTGAACTTGATGTTTAGAGAACAGATTTCTTCGTGCAACTTTACAGAGACTTTTAAAAAAAAATTATCTTAAAGAGGAATCCTAACATTCTGAGAACAGGAGCATGTTATCTGCTTATACTAGAGAAAAGGAAGTGAATCTTTTGGACATACATGAAGTTCAGATATTTACTCTTCATATCTGAAATGTTTTTCACTTGTAGCTTTTTGCAATTCAGAATTCCCCTTGGTCTGGTGTTACTCTCACCATTGCTGAAATCAGTTCAGCAGAGTGCTGCTGGGCTCAGTCAGCTGGGTCTGGCTATGGATCCTATCAAATCTTTTTTTTTTAGGATAATATGGGAGACTTCCTATTTTATTGCTTTCATTTCTGATGAGCCAGATTAATGTTGAACATCAAGTACTTCTGGTAGCTTCAGGTGTTTAATTCTGCAGAAGCAGATTCAAGATTAGCTTTTAAAACTTGGTCAAGTCCTGGAGTTTTGTTTGGATTTTTTTTTTTTTTGCCTTGATTTGAGGTGGTTTTTTGTTTTGTTTTGTTTTGTTTTTTTTTCCTTAAGAGGGTATAGTGGGGATGGTGGTTAAAGTACAGTCTGAAATCATTTTATGCTGAGCTCTGAGGTAGTTATTGATTTGCTTTTACTCTTTCATTTAATAGGTAATAGGAAATTAAACAAAATTTTAATGAAAGCATCTTTTTAAAGGGGTGTTCATAAATCCCAGGGTTAAATTTTTGCTCAGGCATTTGTGTTTGCACCTTGCAAAAGCTTCTGATCCTGGAAACATGACACCTAATGGCTGAGATAAGTAAGGATATTAGGAAGTTGGAAAGAAAAGTTAATCTTGCCGAGCTATCTTGTTTGATCCAGTCTGTCTTGTTCAGATGCTAAAACTTGTGTGAGGTGTTTTGTTTTATTTGCTGCAGTACTGACGTCTGCTGGCAGTCAGGATTTGAGATTATTTGGGTTCCTAAACTGCTCTCTGGGTATAAATTAATGTCCTAAAAAGTCCACCCCTCAAACAGGTTTCTCCTTGGATTATATCCTAGAATCGTAAGTGTGCTGAGGATAAAGAAGGACCTCACTTTTTATTCATAAAACACAGGTTGAAATGAGACTACAGATTTATTAGCTCATGGCTGTTATTCAGCACACTGGAAATAGAATATGCTTTCCACTTCTAGTGTTGCAAATATAATCAAGATAGTGTATTTCAGTTAATGGAAGTGGTTAAATAGAGCATAAAGTTGGGAAGATTAATTTATTTAAATACTACATATACAAGTGATATATTGCACTAGTCAGTCCAAGAAGAGAGGCACAGTTTTTATGGGTAAAACATTTCCCAGAATGATTGACTTTTTTTTTTTTTTAAGCCATACAGTTAGAAGTAGGAGTTGTTTATTCATCCTCTGCAGTTGTACAGTAAGATTAGAGCTCTTAGGCAGGTCATAGATTTAACTCCTTTGATTTCTCAATGTTGAGTGTTCAGGAACACTTGGAAGCAAGAAATGAGTGGGAGTCCAACTGATGCGGTTTAGTGTCTCCAACACTAATATTAGAATAATAAAAAAA